GCGATTGCTAGGTCAGTGACTGTGCGTCCGGGAACTGGATTCCCAGTGCTGACTGTCCTCAGACACTCACACCTCCTAGTACACCTGCACAGCACTCTGGGAGGGGGTGTCTGCAGGAAATTACATGCGTGTCCATTTTTCGCCACTTGGGGGGGGGGACTTGTGGTCTCAGCTCTGCTCGTCTTCTCTCTGTATTCCGCAGCACAATACTGCGTTTTGCACACTTTCTACGGTACAGCTGCACCCTGCAGTCTGGTGGTCTACCATCGGCATAACGCTCTGGTCCTGCAGTACTTCGCCACAGAGCGTGCTGCACCGGAAATATTCGACACCGGAGGCGGGAGGGCTGGTGGATTTGTTATTTGTTTGTAATGAGGTGTAGGCTTGGACAATCTTAGCTTGTAGGGCTAACTGGGTTTGTGCTATTTAATTATTCAGTTCAACTATTTATTAAATTGTTAAAACAAAAAGTGTTGCCTTTTGGTTTCCGATTTTTCGGTTCTATCCCCCACCCTCCAACAAAAGCTTTTTTTTTCTATGTCAAAAGTTTTTATATGTATTTTTTACACTATTAAAGACGTCAGAAATTGCACGATGTCTGTGTGTCGGTCACTCTCTGCCTTAGCTTTCCCTTGCCTCCCCTTTCTCCTTTCAGTTCGGCGGGAAACCGATTTCCTTCCGTTTCAGGGCTGCTCAGCTTCAGTCCTGCAGGCCAAAAAGGTCTGTTTTCTTTGCACCTGAGTCCTTGATTTGCCTAAATGCCAGCAGCCATTTCACCCTGCAACTAACACCTTTCAACCCACAGGCGCTCAGCAGTGTGAGCCTGGTCAGTACCTGGATGGGAGACTCCTGGGAATGCTAAGGTTGCCGCTGGAACAGGTGTTAGTGGGACCAGTAGGGGGCGCTCACCATGTGATCTGTGGGGGTCCTAATGCCCCCAGTACAGTGATGGGGACCCTATACTATAAACAAGGCACTGTCCTCCAGAGGAGACATACCTGACAGAGGTATGTCAGGACAGAGGACCTGACTCTGTGGTCATTTAAAATCCCAGGGTGTTTCCTGAAAAGAGTAAGGGTGTTACTTTGGTGGAGGGGAGTCCCTAACACGTTTAAAGTGCTATGTAAGTGAGAGAAATTATTATTAAAGAAGCTTTTTGATTGGTTAATTGTACAAGCTGAAGGCTTTCTCTGTTCTTAGGCCTGCCCAACCAGCTGCACAGTGTCTCCTTAGGACCAGAATTCTCCTCTCCTGGTCTGGGCTATTCCTCACTTCAAACTGACTGCCTCAGCCTGCGCCGGCGTGCTCTGCTGTCAGGAGTCCTGCACCGGCGTGCTCTGTGGTCACGAGTCCTGAACACGGCTCGGTCTCCACCAGCATGCTCTGCAGGCTTTCATTCCAGCTCTAATTCCACATTAAATTAGAATGTATTTCACCTTTATTTACGCATTCTAACACAACCTCCAAGTGAAAAACAAATTCTGGAAAGTATCCATCCATC